CTGTCATACCTGTGTCACACACCTGTGTCACACCCCTGTGTCACACCCCTGTGTCACACACCTGTGTCACACACCTGTCTGTCACATCTGTCCCTCCATCCCTGCATCCCCTCCGTCATCTCCATCACACCATTCTCTCCATCATCTCCATCACAGCATCCCTCCATCATCTCCGTCTCTCCATCATCTCCATCACACCATCCCTTCCACTTCTCCATCACACCATCCCTTCATGACATTGTCCCCTCCATCATCTCCATTACACCATCCCTTCCATCAACTCCATCATCTCCATCACACCATCATCTCCACCTCACCATCCCTTCATGACATCATCCCTTCCATCATCTCCATCGCACCATCATCTCCACCTCAACATCCCTTCATGACATCATCCCTTCCATCATCTCCATCACACCATCTCTCCACCATCTCCATCCCTTCCATCATCTCTATCCCTCTCTATCTTCTCCATCCCCTCCATCCTCTCCATCATGTCCATCCCTCCATCATCTCTATCCCACCATCCTCTCCATCATGTCCATCCCTCCATCTCACCATCCCTTCCATCACACTGTCCTCTCCATCCATCCCATTTCCATCACGTCTCTGTCACTTTTTCATCCCTTCCATCCCCTCCCAAGGCTGGTCTCCTTCCCATATCCCCACACCCAAATCACCAATAACTCCATGCTCTGGTGGGGCTGGGCACTCTGGAGGGCTGATCCCTGCAGGGACGGCCCTTGGAGAAGAACAGACCCCAACTTTTCATAAAGTCCCTTCATATTTCCATTGGAAATTCGTGTTTATTGCCTTTCTTTGTTTGTTTTTTAAGGGAAAGAGTGCAAAGCTATGCATTTAATGGTGCTCTGAGATGGGGATGAAACAACTGCCTGCAGTTGCCTCCCTGAAAGGCTGGGTTTGACCTATTGATTCCAGTTTTTCAGGGATAGAAAGCTACTCCCGATTTTTAGTAAAGCCCTGAACTGATCCAGAGCTTGGCACCACCTTTCTGCCTTTACACAGGACAAAGACCAGAATCAGCTCCCTTTGGGGTTAAAAACTTCCCCCAGTGCCACTGGAGTCACAGCCCTCTCATTTCCCACAGGAAAAAAGCCAATCCAGCACACCAACTCACATTTTTAGGGATGATAGAGGGACATAGGGTGCTTTCNATCCCACCATCCTCTCCATCATGTCCATCCCTCCATCTCACCATCCCTTCCATCACACTGTCCTCTCCATCCATCCCATTTCCATCACGTCTCTGTCACTTTTTCATCCCTTCCATCCCCTCCCAAGGCTGGTCTCCTTCCCATATCCCCACACCCAAATCACCAATAACTCCATGCTCTGGTGGGGCTGGGCACTCTGGAGGGCTGATCCCTGCAGGGACGGCCCTTGGAGAAGAACAGACCCCAACTTTTCATAAAGTCCCTTCATATTTCCATTGGAAATTCGTGTTTATTGCCTTTCTTTGTTTGTTTTTTAAGGGAAAGCGTGCAAAGCTATGCATTTAATGGTGCTCTGAGATGGGGATGAAACATCTCCCCACAGATGCCTCCCTAAAAGGCTGGGTTTGACCCATTGATTCCAGTTTTTCAGGGATAGAAAGCTACTCCTGATTTTTAGTAAAGCCCTGAACTGATCCAGAGCTTGGCACCACCTTTCTGCCTTTACACAGGAGAAAGACCAGAATCAGCTCCCTTTGGGGTTAAAAACTTCCTCCAGTGCCACTGGAGTCACAGCCCTCTCATTTCCCACAGGAAAAAAGCCAATCCAGCACACCAACTCACATTTTTAGGGATGATAGAGGGACATAGGGTGCTTTCCCCCCCCGCCAAAAAACAAAAAATTCCCACTGGAATAAGACCAGAAAGAGACTTAAAAGATGCTCATGTAATTATTTATTGGGTTAGAAATATGGTGTGGTTTCCATCCCAAAAAGGCACAAACAGGCAGGAATTGCTGCTCCATTTGCTTCACCTTCCCACTGGTAAAGCTGAATGCAGCAAAAGGCACCTCCTGCAAACCTGAAAACTCCTTAACCTGGATATAGAAATCTATTGCTTGATAAGGAAAAAAACCCCTGATATTAAAAAAGGCAGCAAATGCATAGTTAGTCTGAAAGCTGGAGAGTCCTGAAGTTCCCTGTCCATTTTCCCCAGTCCCTTGAGATTTTCATGGTAGGGATTGATTTAAAACCTCAATTTGTGAGTGGCTCTGCTGGTGGATTTTTATTTTTTTTTATCAGTAGGAACACTCATGAATTCACTCCACGAGTTTACATTCAAGGAATTTGGGTGTGTGGGTGCACCCGGGATAGGGTGGATGTTTTATTAATCTGGGTGGTGGATTTTTTTTTTAAATGAGTAGGAACACTCAGGAATTCACTCCACGAGTTTACATTCAAGGAATTTGGGTGTGTGGGTGCACCCGGGATAGGTCCCCTCGAGGTGGGTGCTGCTGAAGACTCCAGAACCTTTCTGAAACAGCAGGAAGGATCCATTCCCAGTGGGGCAATGAGCTGGAAAAGAGGATTTCACCCCATGGGATAAGGCTGGGCAGGATTCCCTGAGAAGAACCTGCAGGTTTATATTTGTTTGGATGGAGGGAGCTGTCCAGGGCAGGTGGAGCACATCTCACCCTTCCCACCACAGGGTGCATCTCTCCAAGACACCTCTGGGGATCATCCATGTGGGAAGGGCTGATGGAGCTGGGAAGAGCCCCACAAAGCCCAGCTGTCCCCCCAGGAGAGGAACCATCCTCCAGAGGATGCACAGCAAGGGGCAGAGCCTCCAACCCCCTGCAGCAGCTCACAGAGAGCTCTTCTCGGGGAACCGCTGCCGGATCTGGAAGGCTTCACACTTCTTGTACTTCATGGTCAGTCCGTACTGCGGGGTGATGTCCACCGGCTCCCCGGGCCGCAGGCTGAAGTGCAGCTGCTGCAGCAGCGTGGTGAGGAAGAGGAAGATCTCCCAGCGGCCGATGGTCTCGCCGGGGCAGCGGCGCCGGCCCAGCCCAAAGGCCAGAACCTTCTCGCCCTCGGCGCGGTTCAGCTCCGTCCCCGACGCGCTCAGGAACCGCTCGGGCCTGAAGGCTGAGGGCTCCTTCCACAGCGCCCTGCGACACAGGGGACACGTCGTCACAGGGGTGGAATAATCATTACGGTATATTATGGTGGTATATTACGGTGGTATATCACAGTGGTATATCACGGTGGTATATCATGGCGGTATATCACTTATAATACAATACATATAATATTATAATGCATAATATATAATATAATACTAGATATAAAATTATAATATATTATTTATTTTAAAATATAATAAAAAGAAAATTAAAAGTTAAAATAAAACTTAAAAATAAAATCAAAGTACAATACCTTTTAAAAATAAAACAAAAGAATAAAAATATATAATATTGATTCCAGTTTTTCAGGGATAGAAAGCTACTCCTGATTTTTAGTGAAGCCCTGAACCGATCCAAAGCTTGGCACCACCTTTCTGCCTTTACACAGGAGAAAGACCAGAATCAGCTCCCTTTGGGGTTAAAAACTTAAAAAAGAAAAAATAATTTAAAAAATAAACTCAAATAAAATGTAATATATTATAATAAAATGTAACATAATGTAATAAAATATAATATATAAAATATGAGACATTATATATAATATATTTTTCCAGACTGCCAAGCCAGATGTATTCTATTTGCCATCTCTATGGTAGTTGTCTTTTGTCAAGTGGGCAGTTTTCCTTATCTCTTCCACAACCACTCCTCCCTCAGGGGAGACACCTGCTGATAACAGCTATTGAATGTCACTGCATGGCTGATAAGAACTGCAGCATCCCATTGGGAGATGTGAGCCCAGAGGGAGGAGCCAAGCATTGCTACCCAGGTATAATCTGGAGATTCTGGAACACCAGCACAGCTTTTCTCCACTGGATTCCCCAGAGGAACAGCAGCTGCCTCTTCTCCCACTGGATTTTCAGAGGAAGAGACTGCACCTTTCTCCAGGATCCCTGCTCCAGCAGAACCAACCCTGACACTCCAGGAGGGCTGAGCCACAATTCCAATGGGACTGCTGCCAACACCCTGACCCACAGGGTGTCAGGTTGTGTTCTGACTCTGTCAGTGTTGGTTTAGTTTACTGCATTGTTGATTTTATTCTTTTTTTTTTCTTCCCTATTAAAGAACTGTTATTTCCTGCTCCCATATTTTTTGCTTGAGAGCCCCTTAATTTGGAATTTATAACAATATAGAGGAGTGGGGAGGGTTTACATTCTCCATTTCAGGAAAGGCTCCTGCCTTCCTTAGCAGACTCCAGTCTTTCCAAACCCAGACATACATACATATATATATATATATATATATATATATATATATATATATATATATATAATATAATATAAAATAATTTGTGCTCAAAGAAATTAAAACCCTGGCATTTTTTGTACTAAAGCCAGTGTTGGGCAACAAGCAGTAATAGGCGAAGTGATAAGGATGGAGATGATGGAGATTCCAACACCAGGAGGACACTCTCCAGAGATGGATATTTCAAGGGGTTTTTTTCATCTGACAAGACCCCAGCAGGAGGCATTTGAGAGGCATCATCAATAAGATAATATTCGATGCCAGAAGTTTATCCCAGAAAATTTCCACTGACTTGCGGGATTACAGCAACTATCCACCAGTTCTGGGAAACGTGGCAGCAAGAAAGGAAAAACCAATAATATGCTAAAATATGCTAAAGAATGGCCCCTTCCAGAGCCCAAAAGACTATAAAACAAGCCTCTTAGAAACTTTTGGAGACCCATGGGGACTTTGGTGCAATAGAAACCAAATCCTGGGTTCCCCAACTCTGATCACCTGGCTCAGAGTCAAATTGTCTGTAGCTTTTTCCAAATTTATACTTGGATTATTTAATAAATTTCCTTAATTACTAAATTGAAATATTCATTTATAACAGGGTCACGTAACAGCTTGCCCAGTGCCACCCCTGCCATGGCAGGGACACCTTCCACCATCCCAGGGTGCTCCAAGCCCTGTCCAGCTATAGGAATGTGCCCTCTGTTGACAGAGTGATCAAACTATCCTTTGTCTCCTTAAAAAGGAAAAAAGCCCAGAAGTTTCTGTCCTCAATTAGCAAAGAAGACACCTCATAGGACCTGGGGGACTTCACCTCAAACTTAAGGATGGCCAATTGGACAGCAGCCAAAAAGTCCCACCTAAGCAACTTACTAGAAAAAGAAGAGAACAAAGAAACAAACGGCTTTTGTGAGGTGTTGTACCAGGGGCAAGAAACTCTTGCACCTGGCTTGGTTTTTCTCTGTAAAGAGTTTGGTTATTTTGCCTTTTAATAAAACTTTCCTGTTTCCAACACTACCACAGAAGTCATCCTGCTCATTTTATGCCTTCTAAGGTAGCTGAGCTAACTTGCGTGTGATATAGATCTCCAAGAGTTTATGAGACTTGGCTTGTAGAGACCATACATCATCCAGCCTGGCCTTGGACACTGCCAGGGATCCAGGGGCAGCCCCAGCTTCTCCTGTGCCAGGACCTACCCACTCTCACAAGGAGGAATTCCCAATTCCCAATATCCCATCCATCCCTGCCCTCTGGCAGTGGGAGCCATTCCCTGTGTCCTGTCCCTCCATCCCTTGTCCCCAGTCCATCTCCAGCTCTCCTGGAGCCCCTTCAGGCCCTGCCAGGGGCTCTGAGGTGCCCCAGGTCCCAGCTCCAGAGCAGAGGGTTCCAGCCCTTGGACACTGTGATGGCTCTGACCCCCTGCAATGGGGTCAGTGACCAAAACCCCACCTTGCAGAGAGGAGCTTTGCAGCACTGTCTCACCCCAACACGCAAAAACACCCTTGGCAAGCTCTGGTCCTGATTTACAGCACCAACTCATGTCAGATTCCATCAGCTCAGCCCAGGGCTGTGTTTGCCCAGGCAGACGCCAGAGATGGATTTCATTCCATCCATTTAATCCCAGCAGCCAGAGAACCTGCAGCTTCATCACTGGGATCTGCCAGCAGCCCTTCAAACAGGGAAAACGGGGACCAGGGGGGTTTCCTGTGTTGAATCCTCTCAGCAGAACTTCCCAGCTTGCCCCAGTGCAGCTGCTGGGAGGCGCCAGGTGGGATTTAACAGTGTCTCAGCTGGGAATTTCTGCTGGGATATGTGGAATCCTCTCTGCCCTAAGGACAGCGCTTCCATCCTACACTCAGGCAGGAGCAGGAGGGATTTCAGAAAGTTTCTGGCCTCTTGGGTGGGGTGTTTGGATACAAACATCTTGAGCTTTGATCCAAAACACCCCATCTGGGAACCCCCTCCTGTATCAAGCCTTAGCTAACTCCCTGTTGGAATGTCTCTGCTGGGAAGCAGTGGAGGGGCAGGATGGGGCTCTGCTTTCCAGTCCTCCCATCATTCCCAAAGATGATTATCAGCAACCACAACATGAGCCCGTGGACTTTAGCAGGGTCACATCACCACATTTTTCTCCCTTAAAAAGAGGAGTGAGCAATTCCCATTGAGCACATCCAGAGCTTGGATCACAGGATCTGCTTGGCAGCAGGATTTTCTGATTCCTGACTACCCAGCTGACTGAGCAGCTCATCAATTATGTAATCCCTCGTGCTGGGGAGCTGCTGAACTGGGGGCCAAGTCAAGCTGGACAGGCTCCATGCCCAGCAGAGCCAAGGATGGGCTCAGCATCAAACCCACACAATTTTTGGTCCAATCTGCCCTTTTGTAGACAACCCAGTTCTTTTTTGGCATGAGGATAGGCATGATCTGAATGCCAAAAGCAGCCACAGCAGCCTGGATGAGCAGGGAGGGTTTGGGATACTCACTCATCGTGGTTCACTTGCCACTGGTTGATGAACACACAGGTGTCCTTGGGGATGTAGTAGCCATTCAACGCTGTTGCTTTTGTTGTGCTGAAGGGAACAGAGGAGTTAGATGAGACCCACAGCTCCTGACAAGCCAAAGCCCAACGAGTCCTGCAAGGGTTTCATCTTCAAAGCCCTATTTGTGCCCTTAGGACTGGCTAGGAAATACCCCAGATTGTATTCAGGAGGTTTAAGAGTCTTGGCTTCACTTTCAACCACCAGAAAAATTCCAGTCTCACTTCACAGCTCATTCCAGATCAGTTGTGATGTGGTTCCTCCCAAGGCAGGAAAAAAAATATAGACCCAGGGGTGCCCTGCCAGCAAAGGTTTGTGGGGCGAAACCACCCTCAAAACAAAGCATCCAACCCCAGAAGGGCAACAAGCTGGAATATTTCCCCTTCGCAGCCATCAAAAACCCCAAAGAAGGCGTTGGCTGCCCCAGCCCGTACCTGTGAGGGATGGTGAAGGGCAGGAAGGAGGAATGCCTGAACATCTCCAGGATGAAGGCCTCCGTGTAGGGCAGCGTGCCCCGGTCCGAGAGGCGCGGCCGCCGCTCGCGCCCGATGGTGCGGTCTGGGGAGGGGGACGGGACAGGGTCAGCACCAGGGCTGAGCACAGAGAGCCCAGAGGGATGCGGGGCAGGGACTCACCCAGCTCCTCGTGGATCTTCTTCTGGATGTCGGGGTACAAGGCAACATACATGAGGCTCCACGACAGGGCAGTTGCCACAGTGTCAAAGCCTGGGTGGGTGTGGAGGAGGCATTTAGAGACCACAAGAGGACAGGTGAGTGGGAGTTTCAGATTCCACTGCTCCAGATGTTTGCTCCCCCAAAATGTGTTCAGGAGGGCACCCAAGAGCAGCTCCACAGACCCAAAGGTGCCCATGTGTCCACCCAGCATCTCCGTGTCCCCACCCAGCCTCGTGTCCCAAAGATCCAATGCTGCCCTCAGAAACATTCCCACCTGCCCCAAAGAGGTCGTTGACGATGTTGATGATCTTCTCGTCAGAGAGCTTCACGTGGGCATCCTCCCCAGCACCGTTCTCCTGGCAGTGCTGAATCAGCGAGTCCGTGATGTCCCGGATGTGCCCCTGGGGTAGAATCCACAGAATTCACAGAATGACCAGGCTGGAAGAGACCTTCAAGACCATCAATCCAGCCCAGCCCCAACACCTCACCTAAACCCTGGCACCCGGTGCCACATCCAGGCTTTGTTAAATACACCCAGGGATGGGGACTGCACCACCTCCCTGGGCAGCCATTCCAGAACTTTATCACCCTTTCTGTAAAAAACTTTTTCCTGATATCCAACCTAAATTTCCCTTGGTGCAGCTTGAGGCTGTGTGCTCTGGTTCTAAATGTGTAGTCGATTAGAAGTGTGTAATGTCACAGCGTGGAAAACTTAGAGTTTGGGGTTTTAGAATATAGCAGTAAATATAGAGCAAGATGGAGATTTTAGGATGGGGGCTGGTTGTTCTTCTTTACCTTCTTCTTCCTTCTTCTTCATGGGTTTGGGTGGTATTTTGTAACTGGCAATTTTGTAATTAGCTGTCATTTCTTAATTGGACAGTTTAGCCGTAAAAGACCGTGTAACAAGAGATAGTTAATAATTTTGTGCCTCCTTAATGAAAGGCTGCAGAACTCACTGCTGTGAGACTGTAACAGAGATAATAAATAATAAACATCTGAGCCTGAAGGTGAACCACCATCTCAAGTGCCTTCAATCCCAACCTCGACAGAGGCAGAAAAAAGAAGCCAAAAACCAGCAGAAGGGGACACTTGCAGGCATCTGCACCCACATCCAAGAGCATGTGAGCCCTTACCTTGTCAAAGGTGCTGTAATGATCCTGCACAATTTTCTGCACGAAGGCGTTGAAGCACCGGTTGATGTCCTTGAAGGCCTCCAGGGTGCGGTTGGGCAGGTAGCGGAGCGGGGGGATGAAGTCGGTGGGGTGGCCACCCCCAGCCACCTCCCCAAACTCCTTCCCCAGGTCCACCACCCTGAGCAGCTCCTGGTCCTCGTGCTCATAGCGCTTGCCAAAGCATATGGCACAGATGACGTTGGCCACTGACACCAACAGGTACTGGTTGAGGTCAATGCTCTTGTGCTCCTCCATGACCTGCAGGAACTTGGTGACCAGGTACTCGGCCTCCTTGGAGACGTGCTCCTCCAGCAGGCAGCTGCAGGACGACGTGGGGCTGGGCGCGATGGAGAAGCTCTTCAGGGCGCTCTGGGCCAGCCTCCTGCGCGCTCTCCACACCTCCCCGGAGTCGGGGCTGAACGCCAGGCTCTGCCCGTTGGAGATGTAGTGAAAGCT